CCTCCATGGCACTTGATCCCACCTCTGATGTTTCGGAGGTCTGTGTTTGCTCTGCTCTTATTTTGTATTGTTTTATGGACTTTGAGATTGAATACTGTTCCTTATCTCTATATCCTTTCTCATAAAAAATATCAGGTGTAAGAGAGAACCATATATTCGCCACTAAAAAGGTAAAGACATTTTCTATTTTGAATTTAGCATCCCTTTTGGTTCAGATATAATTTCGATCGAATTGAATTCCTTTGGTTGAGTTATGTATTCGTACCATCATGTAGCATGCATTAATATAGATTTCACCAAGATTTATATACTATAGATCACTATATTTTCGCGACACCATATTTTTTCGGATTTAGCTGTTTGAAATTTATTGACGGGACACATTTTTCACGAACTGTAGTTTCTGTTGTATATTAACATTAATAATATAAATATACACGAGAATAACATTTAAGCGAGCAGACAGACTCGCGTTATTTCGCGAAAATAAAGTTCTCGCGAATAAAAAGTGACATACAGTATAGTACGTATCTGACTATAATGTTTAGAGACTTATAATCTTGGAATTGTGTCTCTATTAAATACATGGACTACCTATGTATTTTTTTTATTATTTCAAGAGTTGTATCACATGATTTATAAATGTGATCTACATTAATAAAAGTTAATATTTCCTATTACAGTTTCGTTTTTATTATGTTTCGGTTTCCGAAGCACTTTCTTTCAGATTCTTTCGTGTATGTCCTTCTTAAATTATGAAAGACGAGAACAATGTATACAGATATATATTTAGATGGCGGAAGATTTTAACTTGGTTATAGGTTATTGTCAATATTTTTTATTGTATGAAAATTAATTAATTTTATTTACAAACCACGTGTCAGTATACAATTTCAAAGAAAATCTTCCTCATTTTTCGTTACACATTTAATTGTGGATCGTGTCCTTGCATAGAAAAAATTGGAAAATGGATAGAGCCTTACACTCATTTTATCTTGCATTTCTTTTTCTTGTCGGATCAAAATGTTTGGGTAAGGTTATTTTAGTAAAACACTCAAATGAAATATCTGTAATTATTCTAGTTAAAGATATACACTTTTGTATTGTCATGGTTGAACCCCTGTAGAGAGTTGTAAATTAATGTTCTCAAGTGAATTACAAAGAATTGTCCAAAACACATAAATATAATCAAAAAGACAATATGGACACTTCTTAACCTTTTATTCTAATATTCCTTATCATCATAATGCATTATTTTTAAAAAGCATTAAATTCTTGTTTGTTATGGATTGCAATGCTAAAGATATTGAATTCTTTGCAGAAAATCTTAGTCAACAGAACTCTTATTCCGGTCTGGCGTCACAGAGCCACTCTTATAAAACTTACTTGGCAGACAAAGCAATCGATGGATATCAGGAAGAAGAGCGCGGGGAAAGCACGTGCAGCATAACTCTGGCTAAAGAACACTTCAAAGAGGCTTGGTGGAAATTATCGCTAAAACTCATGTCTAATGTAGCTTATTTGGAAATCTTTTTTCGGAACTCAAGTACGTTTTTCCTTTTGTAATACTATAGGGTTATTGAACTTTGAACTTATTGAACTATTGGTGAATATTGGCACGAGTTGGCTGTAAAAATACAAGAGCTTGCTAGTGACTTTTATAGTCAACAAGTTCCAACATTCACCAATATAAGTTCAATAACTCTTTTATTTATAGCTGAAACATTTCCTCATAATTTGTAATAATTATTCTAACTAAAAAACTCTAATTAATGATTTTTGTCGATGTCGGTATTCAAATCAATGTCTGTCCTGTAACCTGTAAGTTTTCAATGTTGTATCCTTCGGATGACCCTACCGACCGTTATGATTCACTTATTTAGGTATTCGTCTAATATGTAGACTATAAAATTTTCAATTAATAATTTTATTATTATGTAAATAAAAACTTTTACCTGAATATCGCTTTATTTCTTAAATTTGAATCGGAGAATTTTATCACACGACATTTAATTTTTTGCTTACAACGCGGTGTTCGATACTGAACACTCGTATTTGGAATGCTTCGGCCATACTCATATGCGTATGTTCAATAAACATCAAAATATTTAACGTTAAAGTTCTCTAGATTTTTTGTAGCTTTTTAGACTTCTTATTATTAGACTATTTATTAGCTATATAATTAAAGTGTTATTTGAGAATACTGCTTAATTGGTTACTAGTATTTGAATGTATTAAAATAATATCAGGATATTTTACAAACAATTGAAAAGGTTATTTTGGTTATATATTTGAACCATTGTTAATTTTTTGTTATATAAAACAAACATTTGTTAACAGATGTATTTCATTTTGATTTGATATAGAATGTACCAATTTTCCAGAAATACACCTTTTTTGCTTGCGTATAAGGCTCAAATAAATTGAACATATCATTATGCGTTACAATTTCAATTAAATTCTCTTTATAAATGTTACTGGAACTGTTTAAACATACACTAAAATTTCAGTCATAGAAACACAAATTCCATATATGCCGTTCAATGACCTTTCGTTGTACACGCTATAAAGTTTAGCGTAAAAAATATTATGACGCTACATTCTAATACAAAAATGACTTTTCTTCTTTGATGACATTTTTGCGAGTATAAAATAGAAGAAAATTGGCATTGAATTAAGGATTACACAAAGTGCAAAATGCAATTGTATATTGATATGTTAGTAAATGGAAATGGTTTACGTTAAAATGGTGATATAAGGGGGTTAAACATAAAAATATTGAACACTAAAATTCTCTAGATTTTTTTTTGTTTTTTTTTTTTAGACATTACTATTAGGTATATAATAAAATGTTAATTATGAATTGTGCTAAATTGCTAATGAGTATTTTATAATAATGGAGAAATTATTGGTTGATGGAAAATTATTAAACCATCGTTCAGAAAACATCAATATTAAAGCAAAACCTAAAGGAATAAAAATATTAATTCTTTTAAATGGATTACTGTATATATGTATTTTAAAACAATTTTATGGAACAATCATTGGAAAAAGTCACCTTTAGAAACAATTTTACCAAAACACCCGTTTTCCCAAATATAAAGGTTGACAATAAATCGATTTGTTAGTTTAAAAGAACTAAATTAAAAAAAAACGATATATTTAGATATATTTTAAAATTTCAGCTATAAACAGAAACACATTTATTTTATATATGTGTGTCAATGATTATTTTGGACCAACCGTAGAATAGTGTGTGAGAAATTGTTTACACAGGATACATTGCAATATTGTCCCAGCCGTATTATAAACGTCACCGTCAACAAATTAACTCAAGGTGATGGTAATAGTTTTTATTAATCAGAAATTGGTATACCTTTTTCACAAATTGTACAGGATTAATCCTTCGCAACTATTCCCATATGTGAAGTAAATAATTTGGTTTGAGTTTAAATCATTCAAATCAAGTTTGTGTAACTTCAATATATGATTTAAAATTATTCAGTATTAAAAATTTGTTTTCTTAAAAGATATAAGGCGTACAAATGTTATGCCTATATTTTGAAAGTAAACTAAAAAAATCTCATTTGCTTGCAAGTTAATCAGATTTATTTTCAATGTCCCCACATTTGAAAAATGTACTTTGTAATTCCCAAGATGTCGCAATACGACAAATGTGAAAAATGGTTCTTGTATATATGGATAATAACTTTTTAAACAACTGTGTTGTAAAAATCGGCTAAGAATATTTTTTTTATTATTTTTACATCATTTTGCCATGAAACATCAATTTTGACAATTCGAACTTGATATTTCAAATATGAAAACATGTATCTAAGACAAATAATATACATTTTTGTCAACAAGACAGAAAGAGAAACTAAGAACATCGGAAAAAAGTAAATCATTATTAATTTTATAATAGTGTGTGTCAATTATATTCCTCTGTTAGCTGTCAAATTTTTAGATGTAATACACAGTGATAAATTGTCTTGTTTTCATTCCTCATGGATCAAGATCACCAGTTTAAATCATGGTAATATTTTTTTTTATTAATTGTGAAATTGAGTATATTTTTTTACTGAAATAATTTTCATCCAGTTTTATATACAGTTTTCCATGTTCATGATACATTTATAATTTGTATTTGATATGAATTAAATAAAATTTGAAAAATCTTTAAGAATTTTCATTATCAAGTTTCATATTTGTTCTTTCTAAATATAACATACAAATTTTGGAAAGAGAGTTATTTTGTGTTTCAAAATTGCTTAAATATCCAATATTTGAGAAATGTATTTAATTCAAATGGAAACAAGTGTTTTAATAAAAATTATGAAAATTTTCTTTAATCTCTCTCTGCTTAAATGGTTTCGTTATTCACGATATATGCGTTCTAAAGTAAACACATTACCTTTAAACAACAATGTTAAAAAGTTCTCTAAATAAACTTTTAGTTGGTCATATATTTCCTGTGGAGTTTTACTTTTAAAAATGTTTATCTCAGTAACTTTTCCCATTGTTGTTTTTTAATTTTATTTACATTTGACACAAAAAAATTTTGAGTAAAATTGCATTGTATAACACAAATGTTAAGTAAGAAATAATTTTACAAACAAATTTTTTGGTCAAAGTATATTACTTTCTCCAGCATTTGAATGTTTACATATATGTTTAGAAAAGGAAATATCTATATACAGTTTTCTTGATCGCTGCTAAGAATACATTTAACTGGTTTCAAACAATATTTAAGTAAAAAACAGTGGTAGCTGCATTACATATTTGCAAAGATTTCGAATTAAATATTAATATGTCCATGAAAATTAAAATTTTATTAATACAAGTTTAATTTTCTATGACTTTTCCTTGCAAGAAAAAAATAACTTGTTTTATTCATGCTTAACAGTTTTTATTTAACATGATTTCAGAATAAAAAAAATATTTTTGTACGTGTTAACGTTTTTGAGCTATAAAAAGATTTTTTGTGACTTTCAGAATGCCAGGAATATACATACAGATCAAACTGTTCATCTGTCTGTGGACATTGTAAAAATGGTACTTCATGTTCAAAGACCAATGGAATCTGTAAACAGGGGTGTGAGCTCGGATGGGAGGGCCCCCTCTGTCTGAACGGTAGAGTTACAAGATGTGGTCTAAAACGTAAAATTAGTTGAACCTAAGTATATTTCTACAATTAATGAGTGTGTACACATGTAATAGATTTCTTTTGTTTAAAAATGAATTTTCTTTCAGTTACGTCGTCAGCTGTTGAGAGTGTGTTACAAGAAGGTAAGAGAAGCCAATTTATTATGACAAATCATTTTGTTCGATCTATTAAGAGGACTGGGTGGTCGGTACCATTTTTAGACTATATTGAACTCCTTTAAAAGAAGAGTTCCATATAAATATATAATAAAAGTGATCATTTTTATAATTTAAATGTATGAATTTTGAATACATTCTATCTTTAAGATTAAGTTATTTCTGATGGTTATTTTTTTTTACCCCCTAGACTCCTTAATGCTCTTGTTTTTAATTGTTTAAATGTAGTTCATGATTCAGTACACAATTTTAAATTTCCTATTTTTCGTTATGTATTTTTAAAATTTCTAACGTTTTTACTAGTATAAGTGGATTGTGAGGATAACGAAGATAACTATTGCAATGCAGTTGGAAGGGTCGCACAAGAGTGTCCTTAGTCATGTAACTATTTTCCACTATCTCACCATTATGCTAACATAAATAATAAAGAGTCATTAATTACACTATTCAAAAAAGGTAAAGTAAATCATTTCTTTATTTTTATATTTTAGAATTAAACTTTTGGAAGACGCTATTTGTCATCGTTTCCAGTATCTCGGCGTTTCTTGCTGTAACTCTTATAATAGTATGCTCAAGATTTTTTCACACCAGAAGGAAGAGACGTGTTCAATATATAAACAGAAAGCCCCTATCTATTGTAGGAAATGTACATGATTATGATCGAATAACTGCGACAGATAATAGATATACTTATAACAATTTTGATTCCACATTACAAAACTACAGGCATGCATATAACAGTGGTAATTCAACATTAAGAAGCAACAGAAATACCTATGATCAAGTGGATTCCACACTAGAAGATCCGGACTATGTGGAAATTCATTTATAAAATGAACACTTGGACAAAAGTTAGGGAGAGAGAGAGAGTGTGTGTTTGTGTTGATTATGATAATGATGGCGAAAATGATTATGGTAATGCTGTAGAGTGTCTTCCTTCACTTTATCAGAAACAAGCCGTTGTTGGAAACAATGTTTCTCTAGCGGCATTGTTTTCTATTAGAAATGTCTATAACATTTAGGACAAAAATACTTATAATGCATTGTTCAATGTACACCTAGGCGTATGGCTTCTGTATGATAAAATATATGGAGATAGCAAACAGTTTTCAAGTTTAAAGTCCATTAAACGATGCAAAATAGGAGCAGAGTAAACACGGACCTCTAAAATATCAGATGTGGGATCAGGTGCAGTGAAGGAGTGGGCATTTCCTATCGATCAATTACAACCACCGCGTGCTCCTTGTCATGGTTGGGAACTAACAGAGAAATATGTCGATAATGCAGTGTTATAAAAATGTTTTAACAGTTAGTATAAAAAAAGTCAGACAGCAGATAAGTTGTATTGCTGACAAGGTCATTGTATCGATATCGACATAGAACTTAAGAAGAAATTACTTTAAACGAGACTGTTGATATTTTTGTTTCATCAACTTGTCTGTCAATAATTAACATCGTTTTAGAAATTGTTCATACATAGAGCATTCTATTGTGTATCGAATCAACTGATATATCTAATCTCCGTTCGGAGATTATTGAGGTATACTGCTGTATAAGTAAGGAAATGACGATTGAAAAGTTATATTCATCAATTTTATCATAAAGCGTTGCTTTAATTTATCCTTTTACGTCTTTTTTCTAGTATAAGATCCAAATATGAAACAGATGTGTTAGACTCTGTGATATCATTTATTTCAAATAATAAACTTTGACCGAAAAAACTAACAAAAAGACAAATTAATGGAATTTTAAAAAAAAATGCATGTAACAGCAGCAATACTCTGTCATTTATTTTGCCAAAAAATTACCCTCTTATTTAATGCTGAGACGTGAAAATCATGTTTGCTTTTTTTCATTCTTCTTTTTGAAAAGGAGGTTGATCATACCGCTCTTTATATGATATTTTAGTTTCAATAAAGCCATTTGTAGACCCTTTAAATTGTTATGCAAATACCGTATCAGCAGAATTTTAAGCAAGGATTTAATTTTCTCATTACATGTATAAGCAAAGGTTATGTGATGGCTAAAATTAAAAGCTGCAAAAAATAAACTGTTTTAAATTTGTAATTATAGCTTCTTTATAGTGAACACTTTAAAATCGTTAATATTACTTCTCGCTTAAAATAAAATGCCATATTTTAAGGATCGCTAAAATCGCTAAAATTGTGTCTCCCTATAATTTCCACCTATATGTTAAGATTGTTCTGATTCAAAATATTATTCAGTACATATTCTTTTATAAATGTTTAACTTAAGTTTCCATTCACTTCCTCAATGTATTTTATTGGTTGCATAATTCTCAAATGCTGTTTATTTTTATTGCCAAACAAAAATATGTCACTTAATGAGGAACAATTAATTTGAAGACGTACAATTAAACATGATCGTGCTCATTTGGGTTTATCCATTCATGTCCTATTGTTGATATTTGTATAATTTATTTCTTCACAGACGTGTCTATATGATTGAGTGTTAAAACAGAAACTAAAATATACATGTTTGTATGACATAATGGCTTTTGTAGAAAATATATACATTGGATTAATCATTGTTGTGTTATCAGAATCGCTAGGTTTTCATTTCTCTGCATTTAATCATAAACTTTAAGTCATTTTACCTCAGAGTAATTCCACAGATGTTAAGAGTTCTTACGCATTATATTTAAAAATTTTCATTACTGTTCTATGTTTCTAATCAACATAATTTTGAATCTTTTTATCCCTGCAGTTATTTTCCATACTTTGATGCTTTTATGTGGACAATAAACATAGTTAAATGTACGTAAATTTTTTAAATGATGTTCTGTTTTCATGCTTTTATGAATTTATTGACTGATTGTTTAGTTTGATGCCTTTTTCAAAGATTTTACACTCATGTAGAGACGCTACTACATGGCAAGGGAGAGCAACAATTTCTGTCCTAAACTCGACACTTAAGGCCGTAAAACAGTGAGGGATTTTATTCTTGGCAGCACCCCTTGGTGACACGGGACCATGGTTTATACGGTCACATCCGAAAGGACCGGTCTCCGCGTTCCACAGTAGAATTTTAAACCTCGACCCAAGGAACATGTCCTTACATCAGGACTCTACAGCAAACGTTTTAACGCAACACAGGTGACTTCGCAGTTTTGAAAATGCTTATGTTACACGTGCACAAGTACATATTTAAATTCTAAGTTCTTCGCCGACGTATGTTGGATGTCATATTAGTTAAACATTCTCGCAAGAGACCTTAAGTGTTCATGAGTTGCTTACACTTAAATTTTTTTCTAACAGGAAGTTCTTTAATAATAATAACCTATTATTCTCCATCTGTTTCTTTCAGTAGCATAGTTAACTAATAAATCACGTGTTTTTCATTACATTAAAAATTAATGCACTTAAAGGTTTTTTATTTGTTTTTTTTATATTTTAGTCACTTTGTTGAACATTTATGTTTGTTTTTCGCTATTAGTAAATTTTTACCCTACAAGTAGTTATAACACGTTTAAGATTTGCTCTTTTAATTATTTAAAGTTTTATATGTCCACCAGGGTGCATGTGCGTATTCAGCAACATCTTAAAATAGTGATTTTTCAAAATATAAGGACAGTCACAGGCACGTAGTAATAAAATGAAAATTCAAGAAGACTAACGTAAGTCGTATTCGTATCCAGGTATAATGTGATATTGAATGCATAACACATACATATATGGACTAAAAACTTGGACATAAAATCCTTTAGTATTTTTTTCTTGATACATAAAAAACCAGTAGTCAATATGTATTCTGCAATCATGAATTAACAAACTAGTGTGTACTTCAAGGATTCATATGACGAAATATATCTGCACTGTAACCGACAGTTTTTCAAGCGCTAATGGTCTCCGACGCATAAAAGGAAGGGGTGGGGGCATAAAAAAATTGGCACCTGATCCCACCTCTAATTTTTTTTTACTTCTGTGTTGGCTGTGCTCCAATTTTGTATTATTCAATTTACTTTTGGGCTTGAAGATACGGTTCGTTATTTCCATTTTGTCATGGGATTTGTTACCTGTTTTGTCAGAAAAGGTTCTTTCTCTTTGCAATAAAGTCAATAAAAGTAGAACACTGAAGGAACTTTCTATTTATTGCTAATGAAATACGTTTTCTTTCATACATATTTTTAATTAAATTTGCCTCTAAAACTGGAAAAACTGGTCCCAGACAATGTCAGTAAATCAAAACGGATATGCATTGCCAGAAAAATTGATTTATTTTGTTATTAAATTTTCTTCGATTTGTCTTAACCAAAATTTCTCTTGATTCATGTTTGAGATGTAATGCTGAAACGTTTATTCGACATAACCTGCATGATAATTTTTATTGAGGTTTTCATTTCCTTCTTCTAGTATAGAATTCTGCATGTAAATAATAACGAGAAACGGAATCAAATAGAGATATTTTCAATTGAAAAAAGAATATATCTTGTGATCACCTACCAGTGAAAGTTGAAGTGCTAAAGAGGTCCGCCTCTTGCTTTTCCGCATTTAATACAGTGTTATGGTTATTAAATGATTTTTTTTCGAAATGAATAAAACACAATTGCATTCATTTCTGAACATTCTTTTCGCATACAAATTGTATTCGTTGCCCGCGTGGTGCAGTGGTTAGAGCGTCAGCTCTAGAGTCACAAAGTAAGAAGTTGATCCTTACGTTGTGGCCGGGTTCGAGTCCAATCGTTGGACGTCGAGACCTGTCATTCGGATGAGACCGTATAAACCGAGGTCCCGACACAAAATGCAGCTCTTCACCTCGTTTACAAAATATTATTTAAACAACAAGGTTTATACCCCTGGAAAAGAAAACCTATGTACATAGCTTTTAAGTATATTTATGGATACACTTATGTTTTATATCAATTTTTTAAAGGAGGAAAGCTATTGACAAACAAGTTGATGATATAATACACTCTCCTTCGTATTAATTATTTCTCATGTTCAATGATTTCTCATGTTCAATAACCTATACAACAATTTTGTCATCAAATGTATCGTAAAGTTGACTTTGCACGACACAGAATCTCAACATGAAGTAAGCTACACGTTTTTTTTCTAATTATCTTAAAAACATTTTCATCTCCTGATGTTTTTGAAATCAAGTTTCACGTTACTGTATTTAAAGTAATACTAAACCTGATTCTTAAAACTTTCGAGACAAAAATGATAAAATATGTTTAAACTTTACAAGGAAATACATTATCCCCTCCCCTTCCCAAGCTATCCAATTACAGTAGAAAAACTTTTAAAGCATGAAAAAGATTTGCTGCACGACTTCTATGAGGCATACGGTTTACAAATCTCTTTATCTGACGGAAAGAAAGATTCTTTGGTATTTTAGTGCTTGTTTTTACAAAAGATGTCAATTTTTTTCTACCAGACGGCAATACTGTAACCCTTGGACTTCCGGTTCACGGATTGACATTCCTGTTAATGATACGAATCCTGTTAATGATACGGGGCAGATAAGGCGTAATGTGGTGTATATCATTAACACGTACTAGGATGATAAGGCGTACTGTGCTGTAAATTTCTATTCGCCTTTATTGTTAAATTTCAATCTTGAGGTAGGTCGCAGGTTTACTGTTTAAAAATTCTTACGAGAAAACATATAATCAAAATTTGATATAATGTTCCTTACAATTTACAGCGTTTTATCTGCAATTTTTCTTAAATTTGCCTACCCAGTTTTAATCAAGAATTCTAAAATATCAAAATGAGCTGAAAACTATTGATATGATAAAATTAATATGTCTTCTCGCTAGATATTTTGCTAAATAATTTCAAAGTTTGCCTTTATATTGCTAAATTATTGCGTTTATGGCGTTTTTTATGTCTACAACGTCATAGGTTGAACGTAATCACGTTTACAGTGCGAGTATGAATATCTTGACATTTGGAATATGCAAGATCTAAAAGGTGACAGGGATGCAAAATTTAGTTGTATTAATCATTTAACCTATTGCAAAGACATATTAGGATGACCAGCAACTGATTTTTACTCGTATTGTGAAATTCATATTCTACTCACGAATTGTAAATGAACCGCATGCATATTCCTTGTGCATGAAAATGAACATGCAGTGACAACGCGAGTGATAAAATATTAGTTCCTGTATTTTTAGGAAATTCATTGTCAATAGGATTTCAGTCAGAGCACATCTAAATAAATTTGATCACCTTATTTGAAAAGGGTAAAGAAAAAAAAAACATCCCGATACTGAGAAAATTAGCGGAGGGGTAAGGGTTTACCTGCATTATGTTTTTTCTATATAATTGACATTAGCTAGAACATGTATATGGTCCTAACTCTCAACCATGTTTTAATTTCGAATTCTCTGCATCAAATTTTCATACGCAAAATGTAAAACACTTGCACTTCGCATTTACACTTAGAGCTTTTGTTATAAAATGTAGAGAAAAATGATACTTGTAAATTGTTTACAGGGTCATATAGGTCTTACCGCCTAGGTGTTTGTATAAATTTGGTTTTTAAATGCATTTCACAATTTAATAGCCAGCAAAATAAGGCGACTTCACGAGATTTAAATGCATAATAATCAAATAATCATTGTAATGATGATGGTAATAATACAAAATAGTTTTCCGTATTGAGGCTTGATTCCATCCTGAAAAATATAAGCATATTTTCGCCCCGGCTTTGTTTGGCAGCCATGATGTTATACGCATGTTCCCCTGAGATGCAAATAACGTGCGTACATACAACCCCTCAAATCTTCCAATAGGCTTAAGCAATTTTATTTATGATAACTTTATTTTAGTATACCATAACTTTAACGCTGACTTATTCTGATTGACTTTTAGCAGTTTAATAACACTTACAATATAAATTATTCGTTTCAATTGGTATTGTATTTATTTTGTCCTAAGACAATACATATAATCACACCAGAGTTCAGACTGAAATCTTATTATAAAGCATGTACGAGGTTTGCATACAATAGCAAGCACTTGGTATTAATATTCTTGATTCGTACAAATTTGAAGTCTTTTGCAGAGAATAAAACAGTAAACTGCGTAATCTTGCCTTTGTGACGTAACTGATGACAAATGCAAACCCGCGACCTACTTTAAGCAATTATTTATTGTACCTGAGTTATTTTTAGGAAGCCTTGGTATCTCTTTAAAAGTCTATGATGAACAGATACAAACCCTTCAAAACTCAAATTGATTTAAAATGTTTTGTTAAAGAAGGAATTATTCAGTAAAATTGTGAAAAATCATTCAACCGTGAAATTATTGATTTTGCTTTATTGAAGATGGTCTTACTTTATACATACAAAGTCAGACCCTACATGTACCGGTATGTATAGAATACTTCTATTTTATAAAAGTTTGTTGCGTTCCTTTAGCGTTAAGATTTAAGTATAATATATATTGTGAGGCCATTATTCATACGCTGAGTTCTATGGATTTGACAAGGAGCCAACTGCAAATACGACTCCCTAATGTTCGATGTCACAATATTACCTGTGAGCATTGATCATATCCTTATTTTCCATCAGATATTTTCTCTGACAATATTTCCATTCTTACATTTGAATCACCTGTAATCATCTGTAATACAACACTGAACTTGGTATACCGTACATGTATACACTTCCTCTTAGACTTATTCAAAACAACCCGGTTAAAAACCAAATTGGACAATTTACCTACGGTACTTTGAAAAGTGGTGAAAGTCTAAAACTTCAAACGTTCTATTAAGGACAGATGATACAAACAAAAAACGGATGCCTGGATTGGTATACATTTTCGGCCTAATTCCATTGCAAATGATGCAAATAATAAATTTCTAAAATATCAAGAAATAGTAAACATTCTGTGATGTTCAAAAATCTGCCCTTTTGATACCATCCTGTTAATCTATAGAAATATTTTTCACTTTAAATTCCATTTTTTGCAAATTTGACTAAGAAATTAATTGTCGTGAAAATTATTCATTTTATTCATTTAAACATGACCCAAGTTGTTATTTTCAAATTTTCTGACAAAAGTTTGTTTGTATCATTTGTCCTTAAACTAATGTTTTGGAATTTTCTTTTTTTACAGTAAGCAAAGGGCATTGTGGCTCTGCTTTCCATATAAAGAATTAATGACGAATTACAACAAAAAATCCAAGAATATTAAAACTAAAATAATGTATTGTGTATAAGTTATATGCTATATAAATGCAAAGTATCATAAACCACTTTCGATTATAATACCATTTTCAAAAGTATTGGTGTGTTTTATGAGTTTAAAAGTATATTTTCTATGTTTATTGAGATGCATTTTACTTTTTTATACATTTAACGAACATGGTGACTACGGTAGTTACCAAGCTTAATGAAAGACTGAAAATATATCTGTTTGTTTATATGTTGTTTAACATCCCTCCTGAAAATTTTCAATCATATGGAGACGACACCACTTGCCGGTGGAGAGCTGCAAATTCTGTCCTATACTCGGCACTCGGCCATTGAGCAGGAAGGGATCTTTTTTGTGTCAGCGCCTACTGCAACACGGGACTTCGTTTTAGCAGGATTCATCTGAAGGACTACATGGTCTCCACGTCCCATAGCTTAAGACTATACTACTTTACTTTAAAATGCTTAAAGTGGTTGAATTAAGAAAATATTTTAACTTCAGTCCTTATTCTTATCTTACAAAGAAAAGTATAAAAATATAATAGTTAGTGTTTCTTACAGATTTTTCCTTGTTTTTCGTATTTTAAATTTTAGAAGTATTTCATTTACATTTGTACCAATTCGTTTCTCTCTCTCTCTCTCTCTCTCTCTCTCTCTCTCTCTCTCTCTCTCTCTCTCTCTCTCTCTCTCTGTGTGTGTGTGTGTGTGTGTGTAACAGGATGTTTTTGCATCACGGCTTGCTACATGTGTGTATCTGTTGAATGTCGATGTCAGCGGAAGAGCGAGTGTAGCAGAACACTAATTATGTTCCCCAAACGAAGGTGGGGAACATATTGTTTTTACTCTGTTTCTTCTTATTATTATTATTAAGCTCTTCCGTATTCAGCGGAAGACCTTATTGTTTTTCTTCGGTTTCTTTTTCACTTTTATAATTATTGTTTTTTTACTTACCAATTTTGTGCACACGATTTCTCGAAAACTGCTCGACAAAATCTTATGAAACTTTCAGGACCTATTGATCATTACTTGAACCTTATGCGTTTTCTTTCGTTTCGATGACGTCACTTCCAGTCTAGAGATATCGTCGATTTTCTGATTTTTTAGGGTCATTTTGTCAACAATTTTGCCGACAAACGGGTCTACATAAAAACTTCAAATTTTTAGGCATGGTAGAGCTATGTATGGAGAAGTGCATCAGGTTTTTCAAATTTACCGGAAATGACGCACGCCGGCGCTCGCTGTTTGGGGAGCGTTTGGGGAACATCTGTAACGGTCCCCATTACAATTAGCATTAGTTAATTTACATGTTACGGATATTTTTTTTTTCGAATCTATTTAATCAACTGACATCATCATCCAATCATTGTGTCGCCTGTGGATCAGATCGGCAGTGAGGAATCATTTACAAGGAAGTTATCTTTTGTTTAATTGGAATTGATAAAAAAAGTGCAATAAATGAAAAATGAACGGAGAACTATGGAAGCCCATGTAGGACCTATAAAACATAGAACTACGAACGATAGTATTGTTCTCCCGCCTACCGCTAAGTCTATTCTCAAAAATTAACATTTTCGAATGATTTTCAAAATTTTTATAGATATTTATATGCACTTTTATAAAACGTTACTTATTTGGGATACCAAAGAGAGATCACTCTATAATTTTGGTAAAACTTGTGTTTTTCACGTTAGAAATCAAGGGAAAACGGAAAATATTTTTAAAACACCCCCATGTAACAAAAAATTCTTCTTACAGGTAATATGTACTGTCATTTAACAAATTTATGGCAAAGATGTTTGTGTTTCACGGGGGGGTGGGGGGGGGGTGACATATGTTTATAAACGAAAAACGAAAAAACATGCTGATTTTAAATTTAAAGCTATTTACACAAATTTTTGAATTTGTTATAAGAAACCAACAAATTTGTTATAACAGATTAAATTCATAATAACGAATTCATAGAAATTGTTATATTTAATTAAATTTGTTATAACAAATTCGACAATTCGTTATATCGGATTCAAACATATTTTTCGATAGATCCTAAATGGGCTTCCGTAGAGAACAAATGTATTAACGATTAGTAATTTATATACAGGAAGTTTTTTTTTCTATTACCTAGCTGCTATTTTTTTTTCATGTCTACTGATGATTAATATATTTTTCTAGAGATTTTTTTCCTAGAGCTACAAATTTAGGTATATAATGATGTACGACATACCTTATAACTGTTGTAATTTCCTTTAGAAAAGTCGAGAAGTATTTGTTTAAGACCTGAAGCCAATCATTAACCATGCATGTGAGGAGGAAATAAATAAGTTTATTCAACAATGAAATAACTGTTTATACACCACCAGGAGGAAATAAATATGTTTATTTACAATCAAATAACTGTTTATACACCACAAAATACTTCTTCATCTGAATATATAACAAATACAATTATTAGAAATGACCATTTTACTGCTTCTGATCAGTTTTTTAGGGATCTCTTTTGTTCCAGCAGTTTGTCTAGGTAAGCATTTTATACAATTAATATAAGGGAATTACAGAATGATAAATGTAAACTAGAAACGATCTCGTTGCGAGCAACGGGAGGTCTTCCGTCCGATTCCGAAAAATGACCCATAAAATCGAGCTTGAAATGGATTAAACATATTTTGGACACACTGGTAATTGAAACGGGTCACTAGCTTGAAAATCCAAAACGCTTATCGATTACGTTTTTTGAACAACTACTCTACTTCACTTGTATGTACATATAATTTTGCAACAGTTAATTTGTCTTGGAATTATGAAAAGAGGGTCACTATTCATAATTTTGCGCCAAACGCCACGAGTAAATCTTAGCGCCTTTCCCTTTGGAATGTTCATTTAAATAGGTGTGATAGCTTCAATCACATAACGAAAGAGCGTTCTTATCCCTAAATTTTGAGGTATCATATCGTATATAGGCAAATAACACTAAAGCAGAGAAACATCTATGAATGGTTATTTTTTTAATTTTCCTCTTAATCATGAAAGTGGACCATTCTGCTTACCTACACTTTCATGAAAAAGGTGGTAAGTTTCTCCGAAAAAGATGCCACGATCGCCCTACGAGGGTCAAGGAATAAGATTCCATTATGTTCAATAACTTGCATTGAGAAAAAAATGTTTATATTGGTCAATTAAACGGTCTTTTAAAAATAGTTATCTTTTTAAAAAGTTGTTTTCTTATCGTAACAGTTGTCTTTTCATTAATCTAATATGACACAAGTGTGCATGGGAAAACAGTGGTCAAGTTTTGTACTTACTATGTATATTGTTTCTTGAAAAAACTATTAATTATAACTATGATTTAAGCTAAGTGTTTCCGTGATGCAAAACAAAAGATAGTAGGTATAGTAGGTATGCACATTACTTCTTTTCTATTTCTACTTTGAGAAACAACCAAAACCAATGAAAGAAGACTTGTAAGGAGACCTTGGATTATAAATGTAGTTTGACAAAGAATTCCAACGAACCTACGACGTGACAATCTAAGTATTCCTACACATTTCATGGCTCCATATATTACTTTCGTTCAAGCAAACGCTCGACTGCCTTTTTAAACCCCTATTGCGAAATGTCGGAATTCACAGAGACCGCCGCCATTTTGGTCCCGCTTCAGATTTTTGAATGTTAATATCTCGAGTTTGAATTTATAAATTTACAAACAAATTATATATTCAACCTAATTAGAAAGTTTTCTATCAATCATACTAATATAATTCGAAAATATTGAAAAACAAAAAAGTTTTAAAAAATCGACTTTTTAAATTTGCATGGCGTAACCACAGGAAGTAGAGACGACGTACAAGAGATCGCGTCCTGGATAGAACTTATCATGATCAATAATCCCTGAAAGTTTCACAGTGATATCTTTTACCGTTCTTGAGATTATCCGCGTACAAAATGTCATTTCAAAATCAGAAAATTGTCCGTAACTTGGCACCAGAAAGAAATTTCCAAAAAATCTCTCAGATAAAATAACTTCCAATAACAACATATTGTTCCTGCAAATTTCATGAAAATCCATCCAGTAGTCTTCGAGAAATCGCATGCACAAAATTAGATGGTCAGAAAAATATAGATAATAACGAACTCAGGCGAGCTTCAACGTCTTTCGCGCTGGAAAAATATAGACTCAAAAAAGCAATTTAGCAATCCTTCCTCTACCTTCACTGAAAATCTCATGTCAATATCTTCATTCGTTTTTCAGTGATTGCCAGGACAAGCTGACCCTCTTAAAATCAGTAAATCGTCCGTATCTCACGACCGGAAGTGACGGCGTACATATAAAAAATTTCCAATAAGGTTCAGACCAATATCTATCAGATCTGAAAGTTTCGTGAAAATCGATCAAGCCGTTTCCGAGAAATCGCGTGCACAAAATCGGTAAGAAAAAAAAATAATTATAGAGAAAAAGAAACCGAACGAAAACAATAAGGTTTTCCGTTGGAGACGGAAGACCTTAATTATGAACATGTTTGTTTAGTTCTTCTAAATAGAATATTTTACAGTATGAAAATACAATATATATACTCTCACAGTCTAGTTCCTGTAATTTTATTAATTTTGCTTCATATTGATGAAGTCAAATATCAGATTAAGCAATGAACACTTTTATAATCTCATATGATCATAATAATGGGAATGTTGAAACACAAAGAGTGTTAAATTTTTAAAACTGAAATCAAGAAGAAAAACAGTTCAAATATTAGGATCTTGACTTACATACAGTACAATAATGCTAGTAAAGATATGTTAAAATGTATTGCAAATACACCTTGTTTATTTCAACACAATGTGCACTTCATCACCTTTATTTTCATTTTAGTATGTTTCTCTCACAAGTGTCTTTCTGTTAAAGTATATGACTTATGTTCTTTTATGTTAACTAGTATATGCTTTTATAAAGCTAATATCTCTAAAGATGATATATATAAAAATTGGTTAACGTTTATAATTATAAGTTCTACCGTAAATTTGATTTAGAAAACCTTGCTCGAAATTCGGCATACAGAGGAGAACCATCACAGAGTTCCATATATGTCACCGGATGGGCGACAGCTGACAAAGCCATAGACGGACGTCTAGAGTTGGTTGGAGATGATCACTGTAGTTTCACACGGGAATATTTTGCTAAAACAGCTTGGTGGAAGTTAACTTTGGCCCAGTGGTCAAATGTTGCATATCTGCAAATTTTCTTCAGAAAAGCTAGTGAGCAATCATTCTGTTCAGGATATTTTAATGCATTTTCTATTGTTTGTATCTGTTTGTTCATCGTATATTTGATCATTTTCTTACTTATTAAGGTTTACCCTTGCACTGGTGTGAGTTTCAATAATATAATTATTTCAAAGAGTGGGCCACCTAAGGCACAAATCATATATTTTTCTATATAAAAAATGCATGCGATGCGCATGTTGCACAGGTGCTCATAACTACTATGAAGAAGACGATATACAGAAACTTTTATAGCTTAATTAAATAAACGATTGCATCTTGATCGTTCTTTGACTTATGACCAAGAAACATCGGGATATTTCTTCCTTTCAAATATACAAGAAAAACTACACATAGAAAAGGAAAGTTTAACCCAATCGGATACCATATAATAGCTCAATATTTTGAAAGAAAATTTATCTAGAACAAAATACACAGAATGAAAATAAAAATAATTCAATCAGGGTTCAGGTAAATCTGGTTTTATATAATATATAAAATGTATATTATAAAGTGCTAAAATACGGCCAATTAAAATAAAAAACTTAAATCAAGATAAAATACACAAATCAAAAAAAGGAATAACCTGATGTTCAAATAAAAGTCTCTAACAGCTTCAACTTACGAATATTTAACAAATGTTTGGGATTGACAAATCAAAACCCCTAGCCAAGAATGTTTATTTGATTGAAGGGAAAAAATTATTTGAGGATAGATTAAAATATTAAAAACAACTGATTTTAAAATTGAAGACATTATGATATTACAAATAAAACCTAAGGAATTGTGCGAAATGTGTTTAAAAGAAATTTGCATTTGATGTCGACAAAACATCATGGCTTAAACATCATGAATAATTAAAATAATGAATTTTACAAGATTTCTGAATACTTGACGACATTGACTTAAAATATGAGTTCTTGAATCCATGAGGTTGGCTTTTATTAATCCCCTACTAAAAAGAGACCCAAAAATACTGTAAAAAGAAAACGAATCATTAATATATAAAGAGTTAAATCTACTTTATTCATAAATTGGTCCTGACCCTGATCAATTCATAAATTGGTCCTGACCCTGATCAATTAACTGTCTATAACCCTCTGTCCCTTTTCATACATCAAAATAAATCAGAGACTTGGTGCTTTCATTTCCTAAAATAAAATGTTTTTTTGAAAATCAAAGTATTGGAAAACAGGCTTTGTGACAATGCAATGTTCTAGAATTTTGCAGAAAACAGACGTATTGACCACCTTCAGAAAAGAATTAAAATATGAGCTATAGTGCTCAATTAAAAAATTAAAACTTTTATCGTCATAAAGAGATCTTTTATTGTGCAATTGCAAATTTTTAATCAGATGTCATGCTCTATATGAAATTTTGAAAAAAAATGCTTCCACTTTTGGCAGTTTTTTTAAGAATACGGTATGGTAAAAATGACAGATTTCATGGCGTTATAATGTCTTGACTATGAAGGAAAGGACTTTATGCGGTAATGGCCAATATTTGCCTCTAAAATCAATGTCATGACCCATGATGTGATATGACGTCAGGAAAATAACGTAAGTTCGATAGTTCCATGATTTCTACAGGAAATAGTGTATTTTACGTAAATATTTTGAGCAAAGGTCCCCATTCGTAGGTCTGCTCAAGCTCAATATTTTGATATAATGTGTACAATGTAGAATGATAATATCAATGACATATTGATGAAATATTTAAATTTTATAGCAAAAATTGAGAATTTTTCTTTTAAAATGTTTTCTTATTTCTGAAAATTAATACAAAATCCGAAAGGTTCGTGACGTCATAAAAACATTGTCAAAAATCTACTTTGAGACTATGATATTTTTGTTTATTTAGATTTCTTATACAATATATACAATTTAGCACATTTCAAAAATTGACTTCTGGATTCTGGAGGCAAAAATATGCAATATACCGCATAGAGTTCATATGTTAAAAATAAATAATCACATAGCGTCCATGAAAAATATGGAGATAACGAACAGTTTTCAAGATAAAAAATCCTAAAACTATACAAATTTGGGGCAGAGCAAACAGGAACTTCCAAATCACCAGGCGTGGGATCAGGTGCCATGGAGAAATGAGAATGTGATAAATACTGCATTGTCAACAAAAACCGAGGAATTTGATTTTTAAGAAAATCACATGGCCAAACGAGGCCCTTAGTGGCCTTGCTCTTTCAATACCCTCAGAAGAGAATGATAACACAGAGAATGGTCTTTTCCCTTTTCTAAAATTCAAAAAGATTTTTTTTTCAATATCATTTTTTCCCCAAACGTTATCTATCATTGATCCCATCAAGTTCGGTTACGTTATATTTAAGTTATTACTGTTTTTATATAAAACCATGCAAATAATATGAATTTTCAACAAAAAATCACGAATGATTGGCAGACTTATATCACACACTTTAGACTGTTTATAGTGATTAAATTTTTTTTATATTTATATCTTGTTCATTTTCAGCTCTAAATCGTCATATAGGATTCAGTGTGTTGACATTTAATGAGTCATCATATATACCACCAAACATCAGAGGATAAAGGGTGTATACTCAGGACCCGTCTTTCTGTGTAGAACAAGTGATGAATGTGACTATCAACAGGGTAACTAGAGGAATAGCTCTATTCAATTCAAGGGACCCCATGCTCAACACAAGCTGTGAAGGATTTGAACCTTCATTTGCTTCCATCGAAATTTGCGAAGTAAAAGTTATGGGTATGTATTACGTTTAAGAAATAAAAATAGCTCATGCATCAGACATATTTCAGGTATTGACAACAGATCTACCTATATGTTTATTACATATTACTTTCCTTGGATGATTCATTTAAACCACAAATTTTTGACGAAGAAAGTTTGTCATTTTTCTATAGGGTGTGGTTTTCAACAATATGGTGAAAACTGCACATCCTGTCCACTTAAATGTATGAATCAGGAGTGCGATGCATTTGATGGATCCTGTAAATACGGGTGTAGTAACAAGTTATTGAAATCACCAGACTGTATGGGTAAGTTTATAAAAGAAGATTTGCAATTTTTTTAACAACCCATTGTTGTTCTGTTGCATTATTTTTTGTCATGAATGACAGAGGAAAGGCCGACCGGGATACGTATAAACCTGACTGTCTTCGAAAGAGAATATAATCTATGAAAATAAATTAGCATACCTGTTCAATTCACTGAACTACATATGCATTTTACATGATATTCATGATATGTGCTTTTAAATTCCATTTTACGTCTCTTTGTACATGTTGTCTAAGCCAAATTCTCTTTACACGACATGATCAATTCACAACTGACTTAATGTACACATATGACGTCATCGTTGGTAGATTCTAATCAAAAGGACCAGCATAACAAAATGTTTACTCGTTTCAGTTCATTTTCTAGAGTTAAATTACTTCTCTAAATACCAATATTACTCAAGGTAGAATATTCTATTTGCTCCCCTATTATCCCTGCGTATTTTTCTGATCATTATAGAATTTTTTCCATTATAAAATGTTTCCGTCAGGAGAAAGCATTGAAGCAAATTCCTATCTTATCTTAATCTCCCATATTAAGTATTTCAGGTTGCACAAAGACTATAGGTTCATACTTGATAAAGAAAATAAACGATATGAAGGGCAAAATTTTAATTTCTCATTCCCATGATAAAACAGGATGTTATTTATGAAACACCACTTGTTCATATGTTATGATCAGGAATAAGTTTAACTCTAGAGACAAGGTCAGAGGGCCAGAGTTGTTGGTTTCTGAAAAAGTGCTTGTCACAAAGCAAGGATTATATATGTTACGTATGAAAGCAATAGCCCTAACCGTTCAAATATTATGGCAAAGTTTAAAGTTTTGAAAAAGTATGTAAAACTTCAAGGTGAAGGTAAAAAGTCTAAGTCTTTTTTATCCGATAAAAAGTCTTGTTACTTGTTACTTCGTCTAGCCCTTCAAAAGTTATTGTCAAAGTTTATTTTTAAACGTAGGTCAAACTCCAAAGTCATGGTCAAATATGGGTTTTCCATTGAGAGGGCTTATCACAAGGATAACATATTTGAAGTATAAAAATTCTAGGCATTACTGTTCAAATGTTACGCCAAGGTTATATATCTTTTAAACATAAATCCCTAAGGTCAATGTCAAAGGGTCAAATGTGTTTGTATCCTATGATAGGGTTTTTTCCACAAAGAATACATATTCGATGTATGGAAGTCCCAGTCTTTCCATTCAAAAATTATGTCAAAAGTAAAATTGGGAAATTTTTGTTTATGTGTGTCAATCTTCAAGGTAAAAAGGTTAAATTTGGTGGTACCAAACGAAAAGTCCTGTCATAATGAATACACATATGCCATTCGAAAGTCATAGCTTCCCTAAATCTAAACGTATGGACTAGGTTAAAGTTTTTGCAGACAAACAGAAAAACAGAATGACAGAGAGACAAACAGATAAAAAGACAGACAGCTAGACAGACAGACGCACGGACACGACAATTCCTTTTTAACCCGACTCTTCGATTACGGGGGCATTAAAATATAATACAAATGTATCACAACATTGCAATTTTTAAAAAAATCTTTTATAATAGAGGGAGTATAATTAATAGTATATTAAGATACCATGTAGCAAAGTTTTACCGGTTTAAAATTTAACATTTAATAATTTTCTAAATAAATTTTAATACAATGAATTTTCATATTTAAGCTAATACTGTATAGCGGGTTACTTTATCGGGGTGCTAATTTTAGCTTATTTTTGGCGTTTTGATGGTAGCCTGCAAAAATTTTAATCGCTAAAAATAGCCAGTACTCATCTCAGTGTTATTTATATATATTGTATTTTAGAAGAAGCTAGTGCAAACAGCTGAAAATCTGTGTCCGCTAAAACAAATTACGCCAAAATTATTGGCATTCCTTTGAGCAGGCAAAACGCCATATTTTACACCCGATAAGAAAACCCGCTATACGGTACATTAATGCATCAGGAGGAATGATATTTGTAAGAGTATAAGTTTAAGGTGTGCCGAATTGTCTTTCTATCATAAACAAACAGTACATTGTATTTTTTATAAGATGAAATTGTCTTAATTTTATTTTATAATGGTAGTATTGTCAAAAATCAAATCAACGTTTCTTTAATGAGATTATGCTGTGAACAACATTATTTACTCTGCAGTATACAAGCGATAGGGACTATATACAATATGAATTCGATCATTGTTCATAGCCTAATGTTCCTTCTTTCTGCAGTTTGCAAGGCTGGTTATTATGGTCATAATTGTGAACAAGCTTGTGGTTATTGTAAATCTGGCACAGTGTGCGATAACAATACAGGAATCTGTCGAAAAGGATGTCAGAGCCACTGGAATGGATCGAAATGTGATGGTTAGTTTTTAAAAAGTCGTGTATTACGAAGAAATCAAAAAATATATTACCTGATCATTCTATTTTGTGTAAGAAAGCTAGAATTCTCGAAAAAGATTAATCACCAAAAACAGCCCATCACTAAGTACACCTTACCGTAGAAAACGAGAAGAATGTTGGATTAGAAAACTAGGGTGTGCCTTTCCCTGTTGATGTAATGGCAATGTCGATAGTGTTAGAAATATTTCCCGTCCACAGTGTCACAATGTAAATATGGTGGGTCTTTTGAACGATATACAGAGATGTAAGCGTAGACATCGACTTTTGAAACCCCCACGTTTTACTGAAGAAAATGCAGCTAAAGAAATCCGTCTTTTCTTTAAACTTCAATATGCTAATAAAGAAATTGACGCGGATTATATTAGTACAAATATTCTTAAACACAAAAGGGTCCAGTCTTGTATTCTACCACATTTCAATTAAATGACTACATCTTGTATTTCCTACAAATATGCATCGAATATTGCGACCATTTTTTTATTATAAAAAAACTTAACATGGCCTAGATACTGAGTATCTGAAACATAATCCTCCATCGTGTTCATGTTTTTCTTCGCCTTATAACTATAGTCTTGTTGGACACCTTATTACAGCTGACGTAAATATAGTTGAAAGCAAGGACCTAAGATCACTCATTTTAGAAGGTCCTAAATACAGGGAACCCCGATCCGTCAACTGGCGTCGGAATTTTATGAATATTAATGATTCTGTTGGAAATTACGTCAGATGATGGGCATGACATGAAAAAGAAGACGTTGACGCTTTGTAAGAATGGTTTAAATGTAACAGAAACATCTTAATATCGCGTATTAAAAGATTGAGGGGCAATATAAAAACATTTATCCATTCGTAATCAGTAATCCAGATGTGAAAAAAATAGATAGATTACATGATTAGTACGTAATGACACTGACAATGCAGGTAACAAGTTTCTCTTCTTTAAAAAAAGAACTCTTTATATATATTGTATTGTAGAAGAAGTAGGTTTTAATTCTATAGGCTGAATTTCAACGTGTACCTATTGGGCCAGTTATTAGCAAACCTAGTTTTGTATTTATTTGCAGAACTTGTGCAAAATCTTAAACGTAAAAAGATGAAAACACTTGCTGCAGACTTAAATTCGACATTTAGATATATCGACGACTTATACCTATTGTCAATCAACAATGATAATTTCATTTTTTGGTCGATACAATATGTTATTGTGAGCTTGACATAAAAGGTACTACAGTTTCCGACTCATCTGTTTCATATTTGGATATTTAACTTGCAAAAGACTCTGAGACTAATAAAGCAGCCAAGCTCTATGATAAACGTGATGACTTTAACTTTACAATCGTTAACTTCCGTTACACATGCTGCAGTATATACCTTCATCGCCTACATACGGAGTTTTTATATCTCAATTCATTCGATAGGCGTAAATTATATGGTCGATATAGTGAACTTGTTAGCAAATACAATTTATCACTAAGTAAAATGTTGTCTGGCGTTCTTCAAACTAATAGTTAGTCCATTATTTTATATATTGAATTGACGAAGGATTTATCCCTTATTTTCCGATCATGACAAGGAGCACACGGCGGGTGTTATCGGTAGGCAGGTGATACTTACTCCTCCATGGCACCTTTCCCATCCTCTGATGTTTCGGGGCTCCGTGTTTGCTCTGCTCCTATTTTGTATTGTTCAGTGGACTTTTGAACTTGATCACTGATCGATATCTCCATATGTTTCATCCTTCTTTTCAAAATTGAAGTCAAATAGGACATTGACATGTTTTTATTTGTTCTACTAGTGTGTGTAAATGAATTTTATGGTCTCAACTGTACAGAGAAATGTGGTCATTGTAAATCTGGAACATACTGCAATAAACTTACAGGAATTTGTGAGGAAGGATGTGAAGATCATTGGGAGGGTTCAACATGCAATGGTTTGTGATTTATTATCATCAGAAACACCCCTTTCCTATGTAGTAAAAAATAATATAGGAATACGAAGAGCTTCTATTTTCGAATGACTTTAGAGCATTCAAAAATAACATAGAATCATTTTATTCTTTATATATATTTTAAGTGTGTAAAAATGGATTTTATGGTGACAACTGTACAAAAACTTGCGGCCATTGTAAACCAGGAACATATTGTCATAAGGTGACGGGCATTTGCCAAGAAGGATGTGATGATCATTGGAATGGTTCACAATGTAACGGTATGGTATTCTTTGATCTAAAATACTGTGAGGGTGTGGGTTATACACCCTCATGAACTTACAAAAATCAAAAGAAGAACTTTAAAATTTTAACAAAATTTAATAACAAAATTAAAGAACAAAATAAACAGAACTTTTAACAAAGAAATTTAACCAAAAAATGTACAACATAAAATGAATTGAAAATGTCTTTATTGGTTGGTCCTGGTCCACGTCAGTCAGTGCGCCTGTCCCTTTGGTATGGATTGGTCCCGTTCGCCCTGGTCCTTCCGTAAGTGCGGAAATCCTTAAGAATAGATTTTTCCAGTTTCCTTTTAGTATGGCTGCACGGAACAATGTTTATTGAAAAAGGGCTGCGTGGCACACTTGGTTCCTCTCGGGTTCCAGAGACAATGGTCCGACGCCAGGCTCAACACTTTAAAATGTCTCTCAATGAAACTAAATATTCAGAATTATTTCCAAATTCACAATAGTTATAATTCTCAAACTTTCACAATGTTTCGTTCATATAATAACTTTAACTCAGATAATTAAATGTTCAACGTGGGTCACCGCCCGATGATATAACTCACAGAACTGGTTTTAGAGATGTGTCGTATGGGCCGTCATAGTTCGCTCACACGCTACGGTCTCTGTCACACACCATAACATGGAAATGGCTACTCTCTAATAAAGAATTTCAGTACCCGATAGTTTACATACTCTGTAACATTCTGTAGAGAGAATTTAGGCATGGAAATAAGTCACAAGACCCATGTGGTTTTCTATGGACAGGCCCCCTGGTAGCACTAGACGAACACGTCTATCGGCTGATGTTTTTCGCGGGTACTACCCAGAGCACGCTTTAACCTTACTATTTAAAGTAAAAGGAAGGGCTCCCCACAGGGCTGCTATGTTACCATGGGAACTAAAGGAATTTAGGGGCTTCTCACGGGATTATTAAACAAATTACCGGAAGGGTGAACCAAGGGGATTTATTTACAATATAATGAAGAATTTCAGTTTGATACAAATACCATTCGTATAATTAACCTTTAAGTTTATTTCTCAGTAACAATTAAATCCCTATCACTTCACTTGATAAATAAAATAATCTAAATATAGTTGTGACACATCATTTGATTAGGTAAAAAAATTAAATATATATCCTATGATATAAGTTGCCTACGTCACAAACGTATTACACCGCTTAAAGTTACTTTAAAATTATGCTCATTTTGAAGTGTTTTTCTTGGAGAAAAATTTTCTCACTGAGTACATTATTATTAAATTAAATTATAAGGAATGAAGCTTATTTCAACTTATGTTAGACGATTTTACATAACTTGGGGCAGTTTATGCTTTATAAACCACTACTTCATTCATTAAATAAAACATGTCAATGTGCAAGTAATACGTAAGATTTTCAGTTTTGTTACTTGTATTAGACATCCAAAAAACCAGAACCATATGGATGTTTTACGAACGTACCAGAACTGTTTAAAGTATTTATATTTTTGCCTAAACCAATATAGGTTAGATACTTCATTTAAAAGAAACTGATAAAATTCTTTCAAAATTTGAGAGTTGTTGCACTGAAAAGTACATTAACGTGAACTAGGATTTGTCTGAAGAACATAAAAAATGACTTAGTATATCAACAGAGTGTAGAGCAGGCTTCTTTGGAAGAGGTTGTGAAAGGCCATGTGGGAGTTGTAGAAATGGCACATTTTGTGACACGATCACAGGCAAATGTCCAGAGGGTTGTGAAGGTGATTGGATTGGAATCATTTGCTACGGTAAATTGATATATTATTCATTTTTTGATTTTGATCATTTATATCTCGCTTAATTTATGTTTGCATATCAAAAGCACAGTGCACTTAAGACAACACTTTCTATAAAATTTCACGGAATCCGATACATTTAATGTTTAACAGTTTTATTTTTTAGCAAGACACTCTAGTTAAAATAGCTTTATGTTATCTTGAAGAGTATGTTCATCGCTTTTTACATCGTTATATTTTGACATCATGTGACCCTTTAGGATCACGTGGGCTCCCATTTTAGGTCAAAAATTGAAATGCCAAATTTAACTAAAAAAGCAAGGGCAAGACAAACAAAAAATTCAATAATTTAAAATTAAAACCTACTGGTGCAGATCGTCTAAGTTTTCCATTATTTTTCGAAATTTTGTCCTCATATTCTCGTAAAAGGGGTAAACAATGCCTTGTCTCTTATTTTATTCCTATTTTCTTTAAAGATTGCCTCGTTAATGGATGTAAATCCACTGCAAATCTTAGCTGATGTTGCCACGTTTTAAATGTAAACAACATTCCGTGTCATCGAGTGCAAGCGCTTGGATGAAGCCGTATGCAGCCAAATGACATATAAAAAGACAATCATTTTAAAGACATGCTATTTTATATACGAAAAAATCACTAATTTTCTCCTATTTAAATATGAAAATATTGCCGTTTATTACAAATTCTTGCAAACACCGGTAAATAGTTATTTTGAGCTCTATTTCCTTGTATGAATCTATCAGGGCGGAGCAACTGTCAGACCTCATTATGACCTCATTACCATATTTTTTTTTCCATTTGTTGCCTTAACTGTACTGCGTGTAATGGAAATTATACATTTGTTTCAATAGAAATTGAGGTCTACATTCATTGCATGGATCAGGAAACCATCAAATAATTCTTTAAAAGAAATGGATTATTAATAATGTGTTCTTTGTGACAGTTTTATGTAAATCCTTTAAGTGCAGATGTAAACAAACTTATATGTAAAACCCTCAATTTTTGTTATACATGTATATTCATTTGAATAGAGGTCTAGGCCAGTTTAATTCACACTTGTGCTCTTCACCTTTTGTACAATTTTTTCTTAATCTACCTTCAGAACGGTTATATTGTTGCCGTAATTTTCTTTCAGTTTTATCAGCGACTCATTTTTAAGCTCATAACGTGCACACCATAATTTTTGTTCGCGGCGTGGCAGAATTTTTTTAATGATTTCTCTTATTGTATACGATAGAAGGATTTTGTCCAAATCTAAGGATTTTAGACATATGAATAATAGAAAAATGTAGAACACTTACTTTTTAATATATCAGAATCTCTAATAATTAAAATTTCCTTTAAATGCTTTCGATTCCTTAAACTACAAGCGATTTTAATTCTTGGATTAAGGATCTGACTTAGTTTAACTGATACACGCATCTGCTAAATTTTCCATGGTGTCCTAGAAGAATTCATGACAAATTCTACCACGATTATTGCCGACTTCAAAGAAAAGCCACAGACATTATTCTCCAATAAATCACGAACGTCATCAAAATATTTTCAGATCAGAAACACGTATCAAACCTAAACAATTCAAATGCATGTTTGACTGTAGAATGAAATACTTGTTTAGACCACATCGATGTGTCGTCTTTTGCAGTATAAACACTGTAAATTGCATCATGTTCCTGTTGAATGTCGGTTTTTGTAGCAACGCGGGGCTATTCCACGGACCTCCCTACTCATTTAAACAGCGTGATTTAAGTCCCAAAAAAAAACAGTAAAAGAGGAACATGACTTTGTTATTGTATATTCATTAAAAAAATCAATACATGTTACGAACAAATTTGTAATTTAAAGCGGCAATACGAATGCAAATCGTTTGCTTTTTCATTCAAATTTACCAAACATATCATTAAGGAATAAGGTAAAAAGTTGAAGTAAGCATTTTGAAAAAAAATAAATATTCTCTCCTCATACAAAATTAACGTTATTAGAATCTGCCGGAAGATCAAGGGTCGTATAACTTAGATCTTTTACTTGTACCACGTGAGTTCGAAAATGGCACGTGCATACAATGTAGGGTTTACAATTATAATGGAATATTAGGTAAAAGCAATTCTCAGATAACTCTCCAGTAAATTAATAATAGTTAACATTTTAGTCTATATTTAGACGAATTTAACATGATTAAGTACAAATGTTGACGTTTTGTGTATTGGGGTGCAGGAAAGGAAAATCCACCAAATCATACGTCATCGCAGCAAAATGTCAAACAAAATATCTTTCTGCAGTTCCAATACAATTTGCACTTCAAATGGCAATAATTTTTATATGTCATAAGTGCATTTTTATGTTGAATTTACACTGGTTTTTTTTTTCTTTGAAAGCCATGGAGATATGAGAAATGATAGATAGCATGTATCAACAAACCTGTAGGGTAGAACCTTCGCAAGCCCCACATGAATGTCGCCAAGATCCCGCTTCTTCATCATCCAATGATTATATAAGTCTCCTAACTAAAATTTTGTCAGGAAAGTTGTTTTTTAATTTCAAGCCCTATTTTTGGTTTTGTTTTTCGTTTTGGTCGACTTTGTCAACGTAGCAGGGCTACCAGGCTTCCCTCTCTTACCATGCTGTTTTTTTTATGAAAACTATAGGCATGCGGATATAGCATGGAATGTGGAACCTCGAACACGTTGCGATGTATATATTTATGTACCATAAATAATTATTAAGAAGAAGGTATGGTTTCCATACAAATTTTGCCCTGTGATTTTCTAATAAATGAAACTGGTGTAAAAGTTGAAAACACATGCTTTTTAAATAATTGAAATTCAATGCAGAAAAGACATACAAATCATTTTTCTCACGTGTGTTTTTAAATGCTAATTATGACGTAATAAACATGTGCATTTTCCCGTCTTTTCTTAAAAAATTGCAGAAGACACAAATTTTCAATGAAATTTTCTTTTAGATAACATTGTCCACAGGCATCGCCCACAAAGATCTTGAGATATGTGATTTGTTATTGAATTTTGCACAAAATATCAAAAAATTAGCATGGGCGATGGCTGTGGACACTGTTTTCTACAGGAAAATCACCCTTGAAATGAGCCATTTTGAGGCTTTTTCTGTTGAAAATAGAGAAATGCTTCACATTTGCAAAATGGTAAACTTTCATGCCATATTCTTTCCTGATTTATCAGAGTCATTTATGTAACTAATACTTAAGCCAGTCTCAAAACTTTTTGATGTCATTACATTTTTAGGGCGCAATAAATCTAAAAACCAAACCTTCTTCTTTAATGAAATAATCAGAATTATTTACTTATGAAATTTGTAATTTTCTGAAAGTGTATACATTTATGAGTATGAAAAAAATTCCAAATCCTATAGGAAAATTTTAACAAGTCTGTTTTTCAATAGATGCATCATATTGTCACTTTAAAAAGACTATTTTTAAAGCAACGAAAGCTCAAATCGTCTGCATTCCATATACAGGTAATCCAACAAAATGTCCCTCTGTCGTTAAATAGAACAGCGTAATTGAGACATGGTGACCTAATCCGTTTCTCTATAGAGGAAACGATCAGCCGTAATTATCCATCTTGATAGAACAGAAATAAATTCCTTGCTGTCGTAATTAAATGATGCAGGATGACCTCCTTGGTCTCGAAATATTGTTTTAAATATTAAAGCCTCGACTAACGCCTCGGCTTTTATCTTTCAAACAACATTTCTTGACCTCGGAGGTTATCCTGAAAATTTTTTAAAGAAAACGAGGATTTTATTTCTTAATAAGATATAACTTGTTTTGAAATTTGTCTGTTTGTCTTTTTAGACTTCGATATAAACAATAAAGATAAAGATACCCCCCGAGTCAAAAACAAACTTGTAATAACAAAATAGCCTTCTATGATGATAAGTGTTTTTTTGTTTTTCCAGTATTGTCATCTTCCAGAGATACAAAAACTGGTGAGATCGAATAAAAATTAATTTTTGTTCCTATATTTTTTTTTAAATCAAGAATGTTTTATCGTCAACGACTAAACACTTGACAAGAATAATCCACTTGCATTATATTTAATTTTATAGGTGAAGAAACATCAAATACTTCATCTGTAGTCATTTCCGTTTTAGCAACACTTCTTGTTGTAATTGTTACATACCTTGGGTTTAAATTTGTGAAAAACAAATGGAAAAAGTGGAAAAGTGGGACGAATGTATCAGACACTATTTCAACAAAATTTGTGGAAAACCCACAATTATATGACAGGTACACAGGAGACCCATGTATATCAAAAAATCAATTCTTCCATTACCGATTATGAAGAAATACATAAATACAGCAACAAGCAGCAATGAATTATAAAAACAGAACAATTTAGTTGTGCAAAGGAGCTATATTTTTTTCTGAATTTAATTCGAAGGAAGTAGGAATAGGCCAAGACTTGACAAATAAAACATTCTTTTAAATGCTTGTGTAATACTCACTATTGCAGTGAAATACAAGTTGTATTTACCGATGCCCGATCTACCCATAAGTCCTTGCAAGAAAGCTAGGCCGACTAGGATAACTCAGGTCAGGTCATTGCCATCAGAGAAGTGTAGCTTACTAATAACTGTATTTTAGTAGTGTGGAAGAGTGCGTAGATCAGAGTGTGGTTGTTTGTGTGAAACTTTTATTAATATTATTATTTTTTTTTTGTAAATAAATTTATCAAAGTAAGAAGATTGTGTGTGATTTTTTGAAATAATCAGATTGTTCTCGTGATTGTGTGGATACTCTTTATGTTATGAAAGTGATAAAATTGAATTTGTGAAGGAGTAGAATTCATAGAAGATTGTTTTCAACTTCATTCTATTGTTCAAGTGTATATGTATATTTTTATACCATTAATACAAGACGATAAGTCAATCTTTTTCATCCATTAAAATTAATCTGTATTTTCCTTATATATTGTTAATTTGAATAAAACATGTTTCCTTTACTTCTGTTTGAATTATTTAATTGCCTGCGTGTCGATCATCGGTACTTTTATATTGTTCATAACTACTTAAATGGTCGAGATAAAAATCCGTGAATAATCTTTAAAAATCTATACCATAAATCTGGAAATTTTTGCTGTAGATAAATATTTAGCAAATTTGCGAGTTCATTGCATTCGTAAAAATATTGTTCTTAAGAATAATTCAACAATAAGATAATATAACGAAAGAAGTGGTCATTTGCAAAATTTTGAAACGTAAAAATTAATCAACAGCATTTTTACCCAGATTTGCAAAATAAAATCGACGGAAAAATTTCCAGATTTTCGGTAATTATGAACAGTACAAATAAATTACGTTGTGCCTTGGGAAGTAGTCCTAGCCTGGGGGCCATAAAACCTAGACAAGCTCACATTTGAAATCAGTCTCACTTTTTCCAAAAAAACTAATAGCGGAAAAGATAAGAAATGAGCTCATATGAGTTTTATCGCCCCCGGGCCTGGTCTGGGGGGCCATAAAACTTAGATGAACTCACCTTTCATCTCAGTCTTACTTTTTTCCTAATTAATATATATAGTAGAAAAGTGAGACTGAAATCAAATGTGAGCTCGTCTAAGTTTTATGGCCCCATGCTTGGCCTTCGGGAACTGTAATCTAGCTAACTTCCTCTATGATATACTTTAACTGTATGATTATCATGCATTTAAAATCACTTGTATCACTACATAAATATTCCAGATTCAATTCCACTAAAGCTATAACAGATTCTAACCTGATCCCATTTAATGGACCTTGAGGAGATCTATAGTGTGCTGATAACATGTTACTGCATGCTCAGACTGATCAACATCTGGAGTATACAACACGTGGAGGGAGTGGGAGGATATTCACCGTAAGACATAGAGGGAGGGGGATCCCCAGTCAGAAGTAGAGGGAGGGGGAAGAAAAACCCTCGTCAGACGTGAAGAAAGGGGGAGGAGATCCCCTGCCAAACATAGAGGAAGGAGGAGGAGATCTCAACCAACTGTAGAAGTTGGAAAAGCTCGGGGTGCCATACGGAGCATCAGTGTTTCACAAAAAATAAAATCGTATCGTATTTTTGTTCATTTTACAGCCATAGCTTCTTACGCTTCTTACGCAGTGTGTAAATGTTGTTTCCAAGCTCTAAATAGTTTAAGCATAAGATAGTTGCAGAACATGACTTGGTCATAGCTGCGGAACTGTAGCGTTTTGGTTTTATATATTAGTTTTTGAAAATAAGGCTACTTATCCTGTAATGCAAAGAATGTGCAATTTACGGATTTTTTGCGCATTATTTGGAAAAATTTTTCCACTTTCATCAGTGTTAAATCATCTACCTTTCCCCTTCATAATTCTAAACACTATTCTGAAGTCTGTATATTTTACACAAATTTTAACCCTTTGTGGTCATCTCTAAAAGCGATAAACTCACTGGAATTAGAATTTTTCGCAAATACACTTCAAATAAATCAGCTTATTGCATGTATAAAGGGTTGAGAGGAAGACAAAATATACAAATTGGCTTATGAATGTGTCAAGAATTAAGGGGTGAAAGATATGTGACTGCCGTCATGATAAAACCCTTATCTTTTGACGTCACAATGGATTTCAACGTTTTATAAAAATTCTAAACTCTAAAATTCTAATTGTGTATTTGATACGGACATTTTTTAAAATATATAATATTATTATAAAATTATTACTATTTATAATTAGTACGTGATTTCACTGATTTATAATTCTATATAATTAAGTTTGTAACATGATGTTGATATACGCGACTTTGGACATGCACATTGCTAGGAACAGCGATAAAAACAATATCTATGCCTGACTAAATTTAAAATGCTGCCTGTTTGTTTTCTGATCAATTTACATATATATGCTTAAATTTGATTCATGTTAAGAATTCTCAATATAAAAAGGTATATTCCATGCACATGTATATTTTTTCTCAGGGAGAGCGACCGAGAGATCCATGCACACATATCATTACCCTTCTTTGTGAACGCTACTTTTTGCTGTAAAATTTATACCATAATTTAAAATGATAACTAAAGTCATTTTAATTTTTTATCCATAGTTAATCATACTGATGTAACCCGATTTCCAGACCACATGAATTGTCGATTTTGAAATTTGTGGAAAAAAAGGGGGAGGATAAGAAGCAAGGTCAAAAATAATCTCCGAACACCGGTAAAAAGACAACTGCTTAGATTTCAAGCTAAAAAACAACTCCTCTTTGATTCTGGGTGTAATTTCCATAAGATGTGAAAACGTTTAAATCATGAACCTCATTATCATAAAACCTTAGACAACAAATTAAAGAAATTAATGTAAGCACTCGTGATGTTAAATGCGGATAAAAGAGGTTCGTGTAAAAATTTCATGAATGTAAAATATATTTTTCTGACTATTGTTTTTTTGATATGAAATTTAGGCATATTCTTTAATGAAATTTTGGATGCTGAGTCTCAATTCTGATACATGTGTCTAAATACCTCGCATATCTCGAGATTTTTCTTAAGTTGTAATCAAAATATTGAAGTCTATTTCGTAATTATAACGTGGCCTTAAGGAGAGGAATTAATAAACAAACACAAATATTCGTGCTTTTAAAGAAAAATGTAGTTTATTATATAGTCGCACGCAAGTAGCAGGGATAGGGGTACATTGAAAGTCCAGTTGCCCCCCCCCCCTTTTTGTAACAGCATACTCAAATTCGCGCACTACAGGACAAGACAATATGGTACTGTATAATGTTTGATTTGGAAAATTTGATATAAAGAGTCTGAACCTAACCCCCCAGTTGGATTTTCGAGTTTAGACAGCCCCCACCCCCATTTTTAGTGGGAAATTGATTTTTTTCTGACTGATCCCTCCCCCTTGCTGTGTGGGGACAGCTATAGGCGAAAAAACAAGTGATGTTTTTTATTCATTTTCGAAATATCGAGAAAGTAAGATGTTTTGAAAAAAATAACTTAGAAAAAATAATTTGCCTTAACATTTAAGAGAAAGGTCTAAAATTAGAGCGGTAGATTAATACTTAACCGCATCACCTTGTAAAAAACCCATAATCATGTATTGGACGTAATATTTTATGATTGATTAATACAATCGCATTTTCATATTTCAAATGTAAATTACGTATGAGAAAATCTTACCAAATATAATATGAATTTTTACCCCAAAACATTGATCTTGAAGTTTTACCTAAGTTACCTAAAATTTTATGCACATATTTGTATATATATTCACATTTTTTAATGCCTGTTTTTGAAAAAGCAAGGAAAGATTGGCCATTTTGTCTGTCACTAAAAACTTTTAACTTGGTCATATCTTTTGAAAGAAAATAGTTAGCGTTTTCATATTTCAAATGTAAATTACGTATGACAAAACTTTACCAAGTATAATATGAAATTTTACCCTAAAACATTGATCTTGAAGTTTTACATACATTACCTAAAAGTTGTCATTACTTTTGAAAGAATAGAGACATGGCTTTCATATTACACAAATGAGTGTATGTTATCACTACATTTAATTTAATTACTTCTAATAGTATGAACTATGTTTTCACATCATTTATATATTTAAGAAATATACGGAGCCAGGATTGTTTTGAAACTGTAATTTTTTTTTTTTATTCTTTCAAAGTTGTACTCCTCCAAATGTTTTGACACTGGTTTTAATTAATACTTGAAGCACGGGCAAACTTTATTAATAAATACACTTTTATTTACCTTTTTTATTTCCTTATATTTAAAAATGCAAATGTTTGGCCTTATATAAAATTGAAATATCCTTGAGTCGGTCGTTTTTACATCCCGATTAAAGACGTCTGGGGTCAAGAGGTCACATTCTAAACAGCGCGCATGAATACATTGACCTCCTGAAAACTAGGTTACTACTTTTACTACCAACGTAAACAAACCCGGCTGAAATCAAATAAAATGCGTTGAAACACACTGTCGCATTGAACAAAATGATTTTAATACTTAAAATAAAATCTGTTCAAAACAAACTTTTTTATGTAGTACAAAAACTGTTCTTATTCATTTATCATGATACACGTCTGTTCTCACCCCCCCCCCTCCCCCCCTCACCAAAACAATGCCTGAGTTTGCAAAAAGAAATACCCAGTGGGAAGTGAAACTCTTTCAAGATACATTTTATATTGTAAGTACTGTTAATATATAGCTATAACAAAGAATATAAATTAAACCAATCAAACAACATGAACAATATAAATATAATTTTGTGAATAAGGTTAAAAGTATGTTCTACAAGAATTTACAGTAAAACAATACATTCACTAGCACAGATTTTTCTCTGCAGTCTATGAACAGATGATTGTATGATTAACAATTAAAATGTATAGGCTAGCAGCCTAGCTAACATACACACAAACAAACAAAACGGAAATGCCATTTACTAAGTTCATGCATTTCAAAATCAATATAATAAATCAATTAAGAAACAGAAAAAAATAAAAACTTAAGAAAATAACAATTAAAAAAATAGATAAATAAAAATCAATACAATCAAATCAATTGTTGAAATAAATTCCCTTTTCAATTTATAATTCAATTTTATAAAGTGGTCTTTTCGATGTTCTCGATTTCAAAACTTTCATTTCTGAGATCCTTGCTGAAAAAATGCGGAAATTTTATAGCGAAGCCAAACCCAGATCAAATTTTGGATCAAAGTTAATGCTAATCAACAATGAAAAATTGTATTTTATGTTTTGTATATCCTGCATGTGAAATATGGATTCCATACATCTATTCTTCTTTAGTTCAACAAAGATTTGTGTAGGATATTCATTGGTAATACATATGGTTTTGTTGTTTCATCAGGTGCAATTTTCATTGACATTTTTATTGATTAAAGAATTATAATTCCAAACTGTTCTTTTTTTCATGTGCAAAGTATAGTGATCTTTGAGATAATAAGTCAAGATACACAGTGATTTCACTGCAATCAATTATATTTCTCTCAATCTTTTAAAGTTTAACCAAGGCATCAGTGACAAAATATTATACAGAGTAAGCTGTAATATATTGAATACTTAGATTCGCCTATGATAATTGTTTATCAACATTGTACACATCCTTGTTTATTATCATTCTTCACATGAATTACAGACCATTTTACGTTTTTTAGGGAATATGATGATAAAATTGGGCGTTTATAGAAAAAGATTTAGAATTTGTAGTTATATGGATAAGTTAGTAACTGAATTGGAACTCACTTATTTGTTTAGAAATAGAGCCATCTGATTGAAGAAAATTACTGTATGAGAAGAATTTTTTACAGTTGCATTCATTTGGAATACATTTACCACATATTGCCATATTTTTCAAAAGCAAGTTTTCATGTGTAATGAAGGATACACATTGTAAATACACTTCCGATTCAGGCTACTGTCTAACTTCAGTGTGCATATCAAAACAAATTACAACCTTTTCCTTGTTTCAAATTTCAGATATTTTTAGGTTGCTAAATAAAATATTTTCCCTGTTCTTTGTCATGTTTATTACATGTATTTGTAAAAAAAATTAAAACAGTCTGTGTCATGAGTAATAGGTGAATGTGGAGAGGATGATATCTTACAATGTTATTGTAGTAATTGTCTTTGTGTTTTTCACTGTTGTAACGATATGTCTAGGTGAGACTTTTAAAGTACATTTTTTTTATTTCGTTTTTTTTCAAATCCTTAAAGTAATATTTTTAAAGATGAAAAATAGTTTTTCAAATAAGATTTTTGAATATGTTTCAACTGCATGTTTTTTAAAACGGGGTTGCCTATTGGGGGGGGGGGGGAGGGGGGGCTTTTTTCATCAGACTTTATCGTTGAAAATATATCAATTACACTGTATATGATTTCAACACAACTGATATAGATATGCATACACGGCAGGGTTCTCCATGGGCTGTTTTACTCTGTTGCTCCCGACACAGTAACATTTTCTCTGACACAGTAAGGATACAAATTTTATGCGTGCGACACAGTAAAAATTTTGCCGACACAGTAAGATCTGTTATAATTAAAAAATCCGAACATATAAATTCTCTCTAACTGAAAATTCATTCAAACAATTCTACCGTCTTTCAATTCTACAAGGTTGAGCACTTAATTGCATGGGCTTTACCGTGCAATCAATTATTTTTTCGCCGGACTTGACACATGAAGGAGCAAAGACAGATTTTTTCATAAATCCATCTAACGGTTAATTGGTAGCATAAAAATACATTGTAACTGACAGTATCATTTTTTTAAAAATATGAAGACCAGGTCTTCCAACGATCAGTTGGAATTCCCATGGGTTCCAATTGCTCTCTGTTATAAGCAGACCTTTTCTGTATTCATATGAAGCAGAATTTGTGCAAAATCTTATAAGTTAAAAGAAGAAAACACTTGCTGTGGCCTTCGACTCGACAGAAAGATATATCGACGACGTATTATCAATTTACAATGGTTATATCCATTCCTAGGTCAATGCGATATATCCGGGAGACCTGGAGATAAAAGATACCACTGAATCTGACACATCTGTTTCATCCTGGAAATTTTACTATATAACAACCAAGCAATATGAGAAACGTGATGACTCTAATTTTTCTATCGTCAGGTTCCCTTACTTATGTAGAAATGTACCTTCATCAATTGCATAGGGAGTGTATATATCTCAGGTAATTCGATAGGCTACGATATGCTATATGTATGTATGTATTTTTTTCTACGAGGTAAATTACTGACAAGCAAGTTAATGAAACAAGAATATCAGTAGTCTTTCTTGAAGCCATCATTTCGTTCTATGATCAATACAATGACCTTGTCAGGAAATATAATTTATCATTAATTCAAATGCTGACGGACGTTGTTCATACTAATTGTTAGTCCATTATTTATACATTGAAAATTGACGACGGATTTTGCAATAGTTTCTCGATCATGACAGGGAGCATACGGCAGGTGTAACTGATCAGCAGGGAATGTTCACTCCTCCATGACACCTGACCCCACCTCTGATGTTTCGGAGATCTGTGTTTGCTCTGCTCTTATATTGATTGTTTTATGGACTTTGATATTGTATACTGTTCGTTATCTCCATATCCTTCCTTGAATATGTCTTTTCTAGAGCCGACATTCTAGTCTGGAATGATATAAGCACTGTAAGTCAACCATAACATTATACCTATGTTAATAAATTGCTTAAAATTTTCAACATGGAAAAAGGGACTCTTAAAAGTATTTTATCATTCTGGAAGTTTCTTTTTTTTTCGTAATTCGGTCAAGGAAACTGACAAAAAATCAAATAATCAAGGAAATTTACTTTCAAAAATGTTAAGTATTTCAACTGTCTCGACCAAAATGTCCTAAGCTTTTTATATCTTATGTTTTTACATAAAATAGTATGTATGACAATACTATTTGTGTAACAAATTAGCGATTAAAAAATTATGTTCCTGTATTCTTTTGCAATTATAATGAATAGTAATTCACTTTTAAATTTGATAGGGAAAATACCGCAAGGTTTTTGTGCTTCGCGTAAACTTTGCAACACAGTAAAATTTTAAATGATGGAGAACCCTGGCATATACATATCTGTACAGAAAGACAGAAAAAAGAAATGATCCAAATATTCGATAAGCAATATTGATTCTGAAAGGTCTGATCCAGTTTTCCAGGTCCAGGGGTAGCAGATAGAACGCAGTGTTTACTTTTTTATCCGCTTATTAAATCAATGAAAACTTTCATAACTGGTTAAGGCAGGTTGAACAGTCTATGAGTCTCAAATGTTAAAAGTTGATGATCTACCGACGACAAATGCACGATAAATGGTAAAAACATAGAACAAAATGTTCTTGTTTTTTTTTCATTTGTAGAAAACCTGAGTCAGATAGATTCAATTAAAAGCACTCCATCCCAGAGTACATCATATGATAATGGACATCATGCAGAGAAAGCAGTTGACGGACAATTACAAGTCGGTGTTGACGAAAGCACATGCAGTTTTACAATAGGGGGGCAAAATGTTACGGAAGCTTGGTGGAAACTTTCTTTGAGAGAAATGTCTAACGTTGCTTACTTAGAGATATATTTTCGGAGTTCAAGTAAATATTTCTTTCATCTATGTTTATTTGAATCATTCGAGTGATAATATATCTATTATACCTTCTGTAAAGGTGCTTCTTCACCCCAAAAGGAAATGAAGTACACAATGTTAGGAAGCCTCAGAAAATAAATACAAAAAGGAACAGGCCACAAATAAAACAAAACATTTATACGAATATTCTGAACATGAACCTTAAAAAAAATGCGGAAACTGATCCAAATTAGGGTAAACTCAAACAATTTTGACAAAATTAGAGTCATTCCTAAAATAAAAATGATTGGATTATTATCAAATTTAAAACTAAATGATATTATATAATAAACTAATTGTCATAAAAATTCTCATGAAATGATAAACTTCTTAATATCATTTTTATCATATAGTAATCAAAAGTATTCATGTTTATTGGACTTTATTTCGTAGTAATCGATTAAATAATGATCAAATGTAATCATAGATGATTACCGATTACTCATGATTTGATTGTACACAATTTAATTAAATGGTTTTTCTATATATTTCAGCTCCAAATCGACACGTTGGATTTTCTGTGTTTGTGTTTAATGACTCCTCTTATATTCCTCCATCAAATTCGTCTGAGCATCAAGTTTTCAAACATGACACAAAGACTTGCATTGATAGAGTTATGAATGTAACTATCAACAAAGAAACTCAAGGAATAGCTCTATATAATTCCAGATATAAACCAGTCAATACAAATTGTCCAGGTTATGAACCTTCCTTTGCAACAATTGAGATTTGTGAAGTAAAGGTGATGGGTATGTTGTACTTTCAATGAAAAATTTATTAGAAAATTTGAAGATTTATACATAAATGCTCTGACTTTTTGGAAGGCATGTATATTAGTTAATTCAATGCTTTATAAATGACTCGGATAGATAGGATGTAACACATTTTAAGGGGCCTCTAAGTATCTCGAATATATCTATGTGTTTTGTAACTGTTATTGTTGGATTTTAGGTTGCCAGTCTAAACATTTTGGGAAAAACTGCACACCCTGTAATCCAAAATGTCGCAATAGACAATGTGATGTTTTTAATGGGTCGTGTATTGCTGGCTGCAGTAACAATGTCATTCAATCAAAGGATTGCTCAGGTATGATGGATAACAGAAGTTTATTAATTACTTAGATCGTTTTTTTTTCCGGATATTCTGCCCATAACTTAATTTTCCCCCTTATAAGAAAAACAATATATTTTGAGCACAATGGAAACAATAAAATAAGTATTTTGGGTGTACTGATATTTTCTTTCAAGCCATTTTTAAGTGCGGTAGTTTAAGACTTAAAAGCGTGTTTGTAGTAGTTACCCCATATCATACTGTTGGTTATGTGTAGATACCCTATAAGCGTGGTCATAATGACACGAGGGAGCGTATAATGATAATGAGTATATAATCCATTATGACCACGCCCATCGGGTATCTACACATAATCAAAAGTATGATATGGGGTAAATGACTTGTACCATAGTTTCAAAAATCATTCATATGTGTCAGCTTAGGAATCGGTCGGACTAGTTTGCGATTGAAACATTAAGAGTTTGGTTTCAAAGATGCATTTGGATTTTATATGATTTTACGCTCCTTCGTGTCCTTCTGTTCGAATATCCATCGAATATAGGGTAAGTGATTTGTATACAATACTTTTCAAATTTTGCTACAAATTTTGCCCTATACTCGGCAATCAGGGTCATCGAGCAGTGAGGGATCTTTTTCCTGTTCACACCGTCTTCGACAAGGGACCTCTGTTTAAACTTAATTGGTCTCCACGTCCCACAGTCGGATTCAACTCCTTACTTCGTGACTCTAGGGCAGGCGCTTTTACCACTGGGCCACGCAAGCGACATAAAAATTTAACATATCTAGGCCCGTTTAAAAAGTTTGATTTATGTAATTGAGAAATAACGAGTTTAATTTCAATGATATATGTTAATTTGATATGATTTTATTTCTCGTAAATTTTAATCGTCAAAATTATATACTAGTAATTTAAATTTATTATGAACTTGGTTTAACTTAAATTTTTGTAAACCTGATACAAACTTTGCCGTGTACAGTGGTACGTTGATTGAAGTGTTTTTATGGGTTATGTATATTTCAATTTAATGAAAATTATATCTTTGATCATCTACATTTGCAATCGAAAAGGTCATTTAAGTACAGTAGTGTACACTTGTTTTTACGTCAAGTATGTACCATGTTTCCTTTGTTGGTTATCAAAAGAACGATGTCACCCTGGTCATTACACTATCTAAAAAAATGTTTTAAAAATCAAGTGATTTCTGAATTTTTTTTTCTTCACTTTTACCTATAGTTAAAATATTAATGGCCGTTTTTAACTGTTATTTATTACGAATTGCAGTTTACAATTGATTTATTTTTTTTTACAGGCTCCTTTTTACTCTCCTAAATTTGGTATAACAAGCCCGTATGATTGTTTCATTTAAAAACCATGCATGATATCGTTTTATAAATAGTTCTTTTGTCCCGACTCGATGGGTGGAGTTATAAAAAAGTGTAGGTTATGTACAGAAAATCCAAACTTTTAACAAAAGAAAACACACCTAACTATGGTACAAATGTATAAACACTTTACTACTGTAGTTAAAGATGGCGTCCTATAGTTATCAATAGTAAATTCTCTAACACTATGATTTACTATCAAACTTTGATCTAAATTTTGGTTCAAG